TTATTTAGTGTCAAGCTCTGGTGCATAACAGTAAAAATTGCTAAATTCTAAAATGTTTCAAATGTTAAATAGTACCACTGTGACTTTGGGGTTCCATGCTAGCATAATGATTCATGTTGAAAAAAAATCAAGAATGTGAATCTCAACTTTTCATACATCTGTGTCACTGTTAAAGTTTCAATAGAAGTTCCCCCCCAAAAATATGAAAAAGACCTTCTTCACATCTTCCAACAGTGGGAAGAGTAAAGTCAAGAAGAGGACTTCGGGGACATTGCTTCAATCAGTTAGGAGCAATCCCAGTCATGAATAAATAGGGCATGTCATCCAGGCATTGAGACTTTTTTCTGTTGTCTCAAAATTAGTTCACAAGAGAAAAACATAGGACGTTGTGACAGGGCCACAATTTTAATTATTAGAACCAGGACATTTGGCAAGAAAATGTATTGACTGCATACTGGAAATCATTATTTTCTCATGATTAGCAAATTTTTGTTCAAAGTATACATATTCATTTTTATAACCCTATGTAACTTGTTTTTCTCTAAAAAAAAATGATATTTAAAGCAAGCGTATCTGTAAAGGAATTTATTATGATTGGTAACACAATCTATAAAGGCAGAAAACTCCATATTATTATATTTCTTATGTGTTGTTAAAAGCTTCTCACCGATGAACATATGTGGCACACAGGAGGGCACACTGGTCATTGTAAAAAATTTTGTGCTACTAATATTTCCCTATTCTACTGTAAATAAATTCTTCATTATAGCACGTTCAATGCTTATAGCAAAAAGGCACTGACAATTTATCCTTAGGCAATGCTAATGGAGAAGAGAATATTCGAAACTAAGACAGAAAATGAAACACCTTTTCACTCACGCAACTTTCTTTTTAAACTATTAAATTATTGTTCATCGGTACTCCTGCAGAATTCTAATTAGTACAATTAACACATAGACGAAAGTTGCCTTTTCATGTAGAATCTCAAAAAATATATCATCTTCAGATTTTGTAATGTGATAAGACACATTATTGTTAATGTTAGTCAAACCTGACTTGTTATCTTCTGACTAACACAATTTACTTAGAAAAATAACTGCTAATAACATTTAGTGGTGAGATAAGAGGTCACTTACAATTAGAGGAACACGTGGACTACCAAACAATCAATGACATTTTTTTCACCATTAAATTGGCATGGTCGATGTATTTTTGGGTTATAAAATTACATTTAACATTCTTAAGAAATTGCGCTATAGCGCCAATCCCAAATTGAAGAAGCCTGCATAAGAGGCAAAACACGTTTTTGTACTTTGGGACAACTATTGAACTTTTATCGACTTATTTTAAGTTTGTAAGTGTCTTTTATTTTACTTTTTTAACCAATTCCCTGGGATACAATAAAGGATTTTTTACCATCTTGAAAAGAGAACTTTTGGATTTCCTTCCACCTTTCAGATGGACTTTATATTACAGACTCGATGTTAGTGTATATGCGTGCTTTGTATAATTGGTGTGTATAGCAGCTATGTTATTTGAGATCATCCTCACAGTTCGCCAGTACCATCTGGAAAAGGGTTTTGGATTCCCCATATATATCCTCCCATTTATACCTTTGATCCAGGTGTTTCTTGTGGCTCTAACCTTGTGAGTGTCATTTATACTTACCAAAAACGTATTCAGTGTACTAACTGTCGTGCCCTATTATATTCCCTTTCTATATCAATATATTGAAGATAAGTATATTTGTATAGTGCTCCATCATTTTTGGTTTTTCAATTCTTAAGAAATGCACAAGGTGCTAACATTGTACTACACTGTCACAACATGTGCCATACAAAGTTTAGATACATGACATTTTGCCCTAGAATCCAGTTCTAGATATTTTCTGTAGCATTGAATCCTACGCTGAGTGCTATAAATGCGTCTGACCAAAAGTACATTTCAGTGATATGTAATTCCTTTAGATTAAGGCATCTGGTAAAAAAACAAAGTAACAGCATGAAGACAATCACTGTGAGACATTCACTGTGAGTATTTTGTATTTCATACCTGTTATTTGTTTTTTTTATGTGTATTCTTACACTCTGGACTACTATAGAAATAGGGGTAAGAGGAATTCCAATTTTGTTATATTTTTACCAATTTCTGTATTGGGTTCCACCCCCATAGTGCCCTGTAGTGCATGACTTTTATATATATTTTTTAATAATAAATATATTTTGCACTTATACTTGGAGTCTCATCTGCCTGAATCACTTGAATCACTTGGATCGCTAGCCAGTATTTGGCACCCGTGAGCCTGACTTACAGAGCCTGGTACTGCTCTGGAGAATGTGAGTGGGAGTTATATATTCATTTATTATTTAACAGTTATTATACAGTTCGCACTATACTGTTTTGGATTCTTTTTTTGTTTTAGTCTACATCTGTAGCGGTACTTACCCTCTCCGGGGGCCGGCCGAGGTCCTCTTTTCCTGCGCTCGGCTCGTCCGATGGAGTTTACAGGAAGACGGGCACTGACCGCGAGACGCGGGCACTGACTGCGAGACACGGTCACGTGCCCGTCTGGCTATAAGAGCGCGCCGCGCGTCTCGCGCGCGCTCTTAGAGGGACAGTGGGAGCCAAAATGTGAAACATTCTCCCATTGGCCCATGTCATTCCACATTCCCCATACACTTACGTTTTGGATATGACAGGGGCCTTTCAAATTGAACACTAGGGTATTTATACTCACCTTTCCCTTAGCTCCCTGCCCTATCGTGTTTTCTGATTCAGTTCCCTTTAGTGCTTGTATCGTTCAGTAGTGGGTTTTTTGTGCTTGACCTTGGCTTTGTATCTGACTCAGTTTTTCTCTTTATCCCTGTTTTGTCTTGTTTGCCGACTTCCTGACTCCTGTGTACAAGACCTTGGCTAGTTCTTGTTTTTGCTGTCTCTCTGTTCCCTTGACCTCGGCTCGTTCCTGACTCTGTCACTTCTCTGTACTACGTCGAGTCCGGCCATTCTAAGGCCTGGTAAGACGTATCTGCTTTATCTTGTCTCTTGTTGGACTAAATCTTGAGTGTTGGGGTACACTACCGTGACATTACGATAGGGCCATGGACCCCGCAGGTTTAGGTCAGCAGATGGCTTCTCATGAGGCTAGATTTGTAGAGCAGGATCATCGTATGGATGGTGCATAATTTCAATAGCTTCCTTATGGCTTTTCGTAGAACCTTTGACACAACTAAAAGGTCGAAGAATGCCGCCAGGGCATTAATGAGAATTAAACAGGGATCTAAGTCTGTTGCCGATTATGCTATTCAGTTCTGTACCCTTGCTTCACAGGTAGATAGGACCAACAATAGGCTGACTACTGCGTTCATGGAAGGTCTATCTGAAACTATATTGGATGAGGTAGCGGCCAGGTATCTTCCTATACCCTTAGAAGATCTCATCGACTATCTCATCAATATAGACAGTGGAATTTGTGATAGGCTATATACCAAGACTAGGAATAGCCTTGTTACACTTAATACTCCTAGAGTTGCTAATCCTGAGGGTTCCAAGCTATCAGAGGAGGAACCCATGCAATTAGGGGTTGCTAAACTCTCTGATGCTGAAAAATTGTATAGGAGAAAGGAGGGACTTTGCCTGTACTGTGGTAGGAAGGGCCATATGCGACAGGAATGTCCCATGCGTCCGGAAAACTGTCGCTCCTAAGACCGTATAGGGGACTGGCCTTGGGTATGACATCTGAGTCCCCACATTTGCCTCTTAACAGATTGATTCTCCCTGTCTCCATGCATCTTGAAAAAATTAGCCTAGCAAGGAACATACTAGCCTTGGTTGATTCCGGTGCGGCCGAGAACTTCATAGATTCTCGCAATGTTAAAAAACACAACATACCCATTAGAGAGAAGAAGACACCCTTGGCCGTTGAGGCCATAGATGATAGACCATTATGATCCCCAGTTATCACACATGAAACTGAACAGTTGCATATGTCTACAGGGTTGTTACACTCAGAAACCATTCAGTTTCAGATCATCACTTCTCCTTCCTCTAACATCGTTTTAGGGTACCCATGGTTGCGTTCTCATAATCCCACTTTTGACTGGGAGTCAGGACAAATAGTATCTTGGAGTGATGCTTGCCAAGAGTCTTGTATCATTAAAATCACCCCTTTAAATTCTATTAACGTTCCTACTACTCCTCCTTTGTCTACTGTTATACCACCTCAGTACGTCTCTTAAGTCTGTCTTCGATAAAAGGGAGGCTGAAAAGTTACCGCCTCACAGACCCTACGATTGTGATATTTATTTGTTACCTGGCGCTATACCTCCCAAAGGGAGGGTGTATCCTTTCTCCTCAAGAAAACCTTGTCATGGAGGAATATATCAAAGAATCTTTGCAAAAGGGGTTTATAAGGAGATCCTCTTCTCCGGCAGGGGCTGGTTTCTTCTTTGTGTCGAAGAAAAGGGCGATTTAAGACCCTGTATCGACTGTAGGGGCCTTAATAAAATCTCCATAAAAAATGCTTACCCTATACCTTTAATCACAGAATTATTTGACAGGCTTAAACAAGCTACTGTGTTTACTTAACTGGACCTTAGGGGTGCATGCAATCTCATACGTATAAAAAAGGACCATGAATGGAAAACTGCATTCAATACTAGGAGTGGTCATTATGAATACACTGTGATGCCCTTTGGTCTTTGTAACGCCCCAGCAGTGTTTCAAGAGTTTATTAATGATGTCTTACGAGAGTACATTCACACATTTGTAATAGTGTACTTGGACGACATATTAATATTGTGACAAGACCAATCTCGCCACATTGCATTGGAGAAGCCTGGTTGCTCGCCTGCTGCCTTTGGACTATGGCCCCCTTTTAAAAGACTTTATTTTTGCCTGCAGAAAAGCTGTATTCGTGCTTTTCTGCCTGGGGTTCAGTAGATTTGTTTGAATGTGTTATACCCCAGATAGGAATCCCATGGAGCCCATTTCGTATGAAACTGACTGTAAAGACTTTGGCTCCATGGTGATTAAACTGTATTTGTGTGGTCCGAGCGCCATTCACTTAATAATGTGCGCTCAGACCTGAGCTATCTGGGGATATGTGAAATGTCTGTGTTTTATGTATAAATGTGACTTTATGTATTTTAAAGTGCTTTGTGTCTTTTTGCAACCATGTGCTTAATGGAGTCTTGTGTCTGTCCTGGGAGATAATTGAATTACTTATCTCCAGGATAGAAGACTCTGAAACTGGTTTGGGCCAGAAAGCCATGCTTCATTTAGTCACAAAGGACTTTTTACTAACTTTTGAACCCCTTGTCTGATTTGTGCCATTTTTGAATATGTTGTTCCCCTGAATGGATTGATTGAGAATATGTAATTTTATGTGAATGTGATGTATGGTTTTGGAGTTATGAAAGTTGGGTAGAAAGTATGTTTTAACTGTTTGTATAATTGAGTTTCCTCTCAGGATAAGGGGAGGGAATATGTGGGATGTAACTGTGATATGATTGGTTGTTTTATCCCTCCCTGTGGGTGGTCCTGTATTTGAAACACTGTAATAAAAACCAGGCTGGGTGTGCCAGCACCTCAGACCACTGCTTGACCCTCAACACGGAGCCTTGTCTCGTTCTTGGGGGGATTCACTATATGCTGTTAGAGACTGATTGCCAGGAGTGTAAGCCGATTGTCTGCTTTTCCTGTTCGTCTGCTAGCAACTATTTGGGAGGTTCCAGTTCGGGAGTTGGAGTGCTATTTTGTATCCAGTTCGTGAGTTTTGGTGTTCTGCAGTAGCTGTGCCTGGATCTCTGGAAAGGGGGCCGATCGCCTAAACGGTTTTTACCCCTTTTGTGCAAAACGGTCCGTTACAAATATATTCACCCGTTTTGCATACTTATCACATGCACGTTAAATTAGTTTTGAAAACCCTTCTTGTTAATGGTCTCTATTGTAAACTCGAACAATGTTTGTTTGATCAATCCGAAGTCCAGATCTTGGGGTATCTAATTTCTGCTAAGGGTTTTCGTTTGGATCCCAAGAAGCTTTCTGCTGTCATAGAATGGCTTCTACGCAGGGTTTGAAAGCCATTCAGCGTTTTCTTGGTTTTTCTAACTATTATAGACGCTTTATTAAAGGTTTTTCTTCCATTGTAGCGCCTATAACCAGAATGACTAAAAGGAATGGTAATACTCATGTCTGGACCCCGAAAGCGCTTAAGGCTTTTGAATTTCTTAAGACTGCGTTCGCTTCTGCTCCTATTTTACAGCATCCTGTCCCTTCTTTGCCTTTTATTCTTGAAGTTGATGCTTCAAATATTGGGGTGGGTGCTGTCTTGTCTCAAAGGGATCACCAGAGATGCCAGAACATCCTTGTGGTTTCTTTTCCAAGCAGATGTCCAAGGCCAAAAAGAATTATGACATAGGCAATCGAGAACTCCTTGCAATTGTTGTAGCACTTAAGGAATGGAGACATCTTTTGGAGGGTACTAAGGATCCCATCCTTATACTTACTGATCATAAAAACCTTTCCTACCTTAGTGAAGCCAAGAGATTGTCTTCTAGGCAGGCCAGGTGGTCACTGTTTTTATCTTGTTTCAATTATATCATCACCTACAGACCAGGTGATCGTAACACTAAAGTTGACGCTCTGTCTAGACAATACGAAACTACCGACAAACAAGAGTTTGATGATACCCCTGTCATTCCCCCAGACAGAATAATAGCTACTACTGTTCTCTCTATTTCTTCATCCCTCTTGCAAGTCATACAGGCTAAACAAAACAAGGCACCTAGAGAGAGACCTGCTGATAAATTGTTCGTCGATGTTCCTGAAAGACAGGAAATTATGTCACTCTATCATGACACCAAAACTGCTGGGCATCCTGGTATCACTAAAACCTTAACAGCAGTATCTAAATATTTCTGGTGGGCTTCCTTACGCAAGGACGTCACCGATTACGTACGGGCATGTGTTACTTGTGCCAGTATGAAGTCTTCTCATAGAGTTCCTTGTGGGTTGTTGCACCAGTTACCCATACCCGAGAGGCCTTGGTCCAATCTGTCCATGGATTTTACTGTTGAGTTGCCTCCTTCAAATGGTAAAACAGTCATCGTGATGATAGTGGATAGATTTTCTAAGATGGCTCATTTTGTGTCTCTTGTCAAATTGCCCTCATCCAAGGAACTTGCTTCTATCTTCGCCAGGGGGGTGTTTCGGTTACACGGTATTCCAGAGTCTATAGTGTCCGATAGGTGTAGCCAGTTTATTTCCAGGTTCTGGAAAGCCTTTTGTTCGGAGATGGGCATTTCTCTCTCGTTTTCCTCCGCTTACCACCCCAGTCTAATGGAGCTGCTGAACGTGCCAACCAATCCCTAGAGCAGTATCTTCGTTGTTTCATATCCCAACATCAGAACAATTGGGCTGACCTGCTTCCTTGGGCTGAGTTTGCTCATAATAATGCTGCTCATGAATCTTCCGGTAATAGCGCTTTCTATGTTGTTTATGGCCAGCATCCTGTTGTTCTTCCAGCTGCATTCTCCTTACAGGGCATGCCAGTTCTGGATGAGCATTTGGCTGGTTTACGTACTACCTGGGAGCAGGTTCAGCATTCTTTTGTGGACTCTGCTGCTCGCCAAAAGGTTCAATCTGACAAACATCGCAGGGCGGCTCCATCCTATGTTGTGGGGGATAGGGTTTGGCTTTCCACTCGCAATATCCGCCTTCGTGTGCCTTCTATGAAGCTGGCTCCCCGTTTTATCGGTCCTTTTCGTATCTTACATAAAATTTATCCTGTTTCATATGCCTTAGATCTTCCTAGGAACCTGCGTATTCCTAACGTCTTTCACACCTCCTTGTTGAAGCCACTCCTGTGTAACCGTTATACCCGACATGTTCCTCCTCCTCCTCCTCCTCCTGTTTCTGTGGAGGGACATGAGGAATTCGAGGTGGCTGCTGTGCTTGACTCTTGTTTTCTCCAGGGTCGCCTCCAGTACCTGGTGCATTGTAAGGGGTATGGGCCTGAGGAATGCAGTTGGATTTCCGCTGACGCTGTTCACGCTCCTCGACTTCTGCGCTCCTTCCATTCTCATTTTCCTGCCAGGCCTGGTCCACCCTGCCCGGTAGGCGTGTCTTCAGGGGGGGTACTGTAGCTTTACTTACCCTCTCCAGGGGCCGGCCGAGGTCCTCTGTTCCTGCGCGTGGCTCGTCCGACGGAGTTTACAGGAAGGCGGGCACTGATCGCGAGACGCGGTCACGTGCCCCGCCTGGTTCTAAGAGCGCGCCACGCATCTCGGGCACGCTCTTAAAGGGACAGTGGGAGCCGAAATGTGAAACGATCTCCCATTGGCCCATGTCATTCCACATTCCCATACACTCACGTTTTGGGGGCATGGATATGACAGGGGCCAATCAAATTGAACACAAGGGTATTTATACTCACCTTTCCCTTAGCTCCCTGCCCTATTGTGGTTTCTGATTCAGTTCCCTTTAGTGCTTGTATCATTCAGTAGTGGTTTTTTTCGTGCTTGACCTTGGCTTTGTATCTGACTCAGTTTTTCCCTTTATCCCTGCTTTGTCTTGTTTGCCGGCTTCCTGACCTTCTGTGTACCAGACCTTGGCTAGTTCTTGTTTTCGCTGTCTCTCTGTTCCCTTGACCTCAGCTCGTTCCTGACTCTATCACTTCTCTGTACTACGTCGAGTCCAGCTGTAGTGCACATGGATGGAACAATCCCTGTCAAAGGATATGTGTAGATATTGACGTCTTTGGTTGTCTCAGACAAAGTGCAGTGTGCAGGTCATATATAAAAAAACATAGGAAAATATTCCAATTGTTAAGTAAGTACTTACAGATGATGAAAAGAAAATAAAGTAATGTACTCACATTTACTAGAGCAGAACTTGCTCTAGTGTATACAGGATAGGTGGGATAATCCCCACCTGGGAATATGATGGTAGCCAGGAAATGAGTAAAAATGTTGGTGTAGAGTAAATTTAAAAAAATTAAAATATACCACGCGTGCATTCCAAAGTATGTATGAACTGCAGTTCTATGTCAAAATTCTAGATTTAGAACATTAATGTCAGCTATTCAAAACCACAATTCGATAGCAAGATTCTAGAATGAGATAAATCTGCAGGGATGTTCCATCGTTTGCCACGGTAAGGTTATAGAACTGTACTCTTTACCCCAGGGATAGGTACTCCAGATGTTGTGGACTACATCCCCCTGTAATGCTCTTACACCCATAATACTGACAAAGCATCATGGGAGGTGTAGTCCAAAACATCTGGAGTGCCGAAGGATGCTTATGCCTGCATTACCCCATTGTGATGCCAACTCAAGCAACCTCTGCAATTGATCAGTTCCAGCAACATCACCTCCACCTTTACCCTTCATTTGTTTGGAAAGTTAATGAGCTGCACACAGTGTAGACAGACATTAACGCATATGATTATCTAGAGTGATGTTATTACCCACGTGGGATGCTGGGAACACTTGGCTGTTATCGTTAAAGGGCAATAACTTTTCAGCTTGACCTAATTTTAATTAAATGCTTGAGAAACCCATGGTAGTAATCCTACCATGTCAAAGCTTGAGAAGTATTAAAAGGGGTTAAATTTATGAGAGAATTACGGCGATCAGCACTGCGTTGGTGACCTCTCCAGAATGAAATAGAAATGCTATAGTGGTTAAATATACTAATTTACTCTAAACATCTAGAATAAAAATATAAAATAATAAAGTTTAGGAAAGAGTACATTTATTAAATAAGTATATTATATACATAAGATGCACATAAATAATACATACTATAATTTGATATATATTCAGAAAAATTGCAACTTTTAAAATGTTATGTATTTTAGAAAGCCAAAGGCATAATCATGCTGTTTAGTATGTATATATTTATAATGTTTTACATTTAACAGGGATTTAGCAGGGAACTCAGAGAAATATCTGCTTTGCAAGTGCAGATATTTATTTTTAACAAGGATAAGTCTTCATGTTTATAAGTTTCTAACTGATAACTACCAAGGTGATCTGGAATTGGAAATGAGTGACAAGTTTGAACAACTCTTTTAGAAGCAATTATGCAATATGGCAACACATTTTTTAGCTTTTTAGAAGACTGGATATCTATCTGTCTGGCTGTCTGTCTGTCTGTGTGCCTGCCTGCCTGTCTGTGTATATGTTTGTATATCTTTC